TGTTCCGATCGTGTGAAAACGAAAACCACAACGAATGTCCTTCACTGTCTGAGGGACAGTTTGACACAAATTGTAGTCTCAGCATATCCAATAAAATAGACACGCATTGCATAGGAGACAATAAAGCAACCTTCATAGGTGCTAACACAAACAATCCGACACTGGAAATACAGTTCGTCATCGATGCAAACTGCTGCTACAACTAGGGAGTAGTTGCAGACGCGATTATTCTTAAAGCACAACCAGTTAGTTTTGTGGCAATTTCCTAATCCATATTTCACAACATAAACCACCTTGATCCCAATCAAAAGTCATCTCCCAAAAATTTCCTCAGCTCATGTGTCCGCCTACACTCAGTTCAGAAGCTGGGCGATGAACCTATATAATTTCAGTATACATTTCAAGAAATACGCAGCAGACAGCTATTGTGAAAAACAAACGTTTGCCACGACTTAAGTAAACAGCCTATCATTCAAAATAAGTGGAAATCAGGAATATTTACTCAGCTTCTACGACATGCTTGTTAGCAGGTCTATATTTTCCTTTTCCACCACAATGGGACTCTTGTTCCCATACAGGGACTTTTTTGTCTTTAGGTTCGCCTTTAGGTTTGCTACAGGAGGAGTCGATTGAAAGGGTAGAGACGAGGTGAAAGATGTTTGTGTCGATAGCGGTGATGCTGAGATGTCTTGCTTGCTGCATGCTTCTGACGTCTCTGATGCTTGAAAATAAAATGTCTGAAACAACTCTTCTTGTCTTTATTGTGATACCTCAGGAATGACACAAGTAACATCAATAAAAAAAAAGCTGAATGGCGTTGTGTTCGCTCTATGGTTACATACTCTAAAGGTCACGTTGTGTTTTTCATCTATAGTTTCTTTGTTAACTGGTTCTAGTGTCTGTAACAGCCACCTGGATTCTAGTGCTGTCTGGTACTAATGGCCTAATCGTCGACTCGTACATCTCAATAGAATTTATATTCAATGTATCTCTCTTAACCATGTTTACATACTGTCTCTGTAGTTCGTTGTCTCTTCTATAATGTCCGTCTTCGAGGCTAAATGTGACTGGCTCCTCTGCTTCTGGTCTTGAGCAGGAATCTCCACAACTGCGGGGGTCCTTGAAACTAGTCGTTCCTCTTCTGAGTCTCATAGACTGAATTATTTTTTTGAGGGTCCGTGTTACTAGTCCCTCCTCTTCTGAGTCTGGTATACTGAAGGATTATTAGGTGGACTTTTACCCATTGTTGATACTTAGATGCTGAAATGCTAGGTATTTGTTTTCTTCTCACTTTGACTATAATATTTTGGTATGCTAAACATGTTTACTATGTGTGTTCTCACGTAGGATTGTCTAATTATATCTCGATTACATCAGATTGCATCATCTTGTTCTGCACCTAAATATAGCAATTGAATTGATATCTGGCCTCACGGAGACTTTTTTAAAGCCAGTACAACTGCGTTCACTTTGATAGGGCACATCCACAGTGACATCATATGCTATCAATAGATTATTCATTTGCAAAAATATTTCTTGGTTTACCCACACACACAAAAAATTAAATCAAATAAACTGCAGTTTTATAAAGGAATGTCAATGTTACCAAAACGTGTTGATTATTCTAACTATGAGCAATATCCTAACTCTTGACAAACAAGTATTGACGTCTCCCTGTTAAAGAATTGATAAAACACATGTCCCCATGATTAAAATAACTAGAGATGTGGCCAAACGGGAACTACACTAAAACTTAAGAAGTTATATTCGACAGGGAATTGTCGTGCAAATACCGCAATGAGTAGCCATCTTAAAAGCATAGAGATTATTTAATGCCGTGAAGGTTAAGGACAGCTGCAGTTGTAGAACATGGGATGTTAAAAAAAACTAAATCATTGCTATGTGACGTCAGTCATTCGCTATGGCCTGGAGATACAAGATTTTTTTGTTTTTTTAATATATGGTAAGACTCTCTCTTTCTTG